CATGGTCTTTTTTGCGGCAAATTGAATGTGATCTCTGAAGGTGAGCCTAGTGTCCAGTCTTACGCCCAAGTACCGGATCTCCCCGTGTTGCTCTATCCGGTAACCTATTCTCAACTTGGGAATGGTGCGAGGTCGTTTGTTTGTCAACATGACCGCCTCACTCTTGTGGTGGGCCAGCTCCAACCCATGTCTCACCATCCAGCCGTCAATATCCTCCAGTGCCCGGTTGGTCCGTTCTTCCAGCTGCGGCATCGTTTTGGCACTGCATACGACTGCCAGATCATCAGCAAAGCCGATCAGATGAACAACAGGTGGGACCTCCATGCCGAGTAGGCCGTCGTAGGCGACATTCCAGAGTGTAGGACCTAGTACTGAGCCCTGAAGGACTCCGCATATGGACTGGTCTCTGGACCATATCCTCGCCTACTAAAAGACTCTTCTCGGTGAGCCAGGACCTATTCCGGCGTCCACTTGCGTCTTAAGGCTTCATCTTTGATTTGCCATCTTAGGGAGTTAAAAGCATTTTTCACGTCCAAGGTAACCAATACATAGAATTCCCTATCCCGACCAAGGACCTAACCTAACCTTTTTTTTTTTTATAAATCAACAACCTGGAGGGAACCGCTTTCGCATTATTTCCTCCTGGCCGTCATCGTTTATTAAATAAAACAATACACTAATAAATTAATCACGTACAGGGACAATCCCCCTGTAGTAACCTCACACAGATAATATTTTACAAAATGGAGAGCTCTATCCCTCCTACATTGGCCGAGTTGGCCTACAAAGAAAAAAATGACTTAACTAGTTACTTTTCATCTTCCTGAGGTTGGTGTTCATACGTCACCTTGCTGCATTCTCCTCTCCTCTTCTTTTCTTAACCTCATAATTCTGGTGAAGAGCATGCTGATTCTCTCCCAAGAGGACTTAGACTGGAGCATGATACCGATCACGTTGTCCGCAGATAGTTGGTTCACTTCCAGGTACACGCACGCCTCGTTCCGCCAGCGATTCCAAGCATCACACTCAAACACCGCGTATTTCGGGCTATCCGGGACTGTCCCGCATTGTGCGCATGCATCAGTATCCAGGTGGCAGTACTTCTTCAGGTAACTTCCAAAACAACCATGACCCGTCAGCACTTGGCTAACGCGGAACGTTACCTCGCCGTGTTTGCGTATGTGCCAAGCTGTGACATCCCCAATGAGGCGGTGGGTCCACCTACATTTTGAGGACGAGTCCCATTTCTGCTGCCACTTGGACAGGAGGCATTCTCTGGCCTCTCCTTTGTCCACACCTTCATAGATTTTCCTCCGTTCTTAAGCCAACAAGTTGAGCGGCGACATGCTTGAGACAACTGTCACTGCTTCGTACGAAATAGTCCGATAACAGCAGGTGACCCTCAGTATAATTCATCTATATGCATCCATTTTCTTCATCGCACCGATGGTTATGGTTGGCGACCATATGGGAGCTGCATAAAGTAGTCTAGACGTGACTACCGTTGCCAGTACACGTCTGGTTCTCTGCTTGGCTCCTCTCAGGTTTGACAGGATCCTTGAGAGGTGTTTTCCCGCCTCTAATGCCCATTTTGCAGCTAGCTTGGCGTGCTGCTCGAAGTGCAGCCTGGATTCGAAGTACACTCCGAGGTACTTCACGCAGCGACTTGACGGGTAGCTGTGTGGTGGCAGTTCAACTGTCATAGTGTTCCGCACGTTCCTTTTGGTGAAGACTATGTACTTGGTTTTCTGCAGGGCTAACTCTAAACTGTTCTCGGTTATCCAGTCCACGACGTCTTTGAGCGCTGCCCCCAATCTCTCCTCCAGTAGGAATGGCACCTGTGCCGTACATACTACAGCGATGTCGTCAGCGAACACTATTATCTCCGTGTCCTCTGGTAGACTTAGCTTCATCAGGTCGTCGTACATCAGGTTCCATAGATAGGCCGTCGTAGGCGACATTCCAGAGCGTAGGACCTAATACTGAGCGCTGAGGGACTCCGCATATGGACTGGTCTCTGGACCATATCCTCGCCCACTAAAAGACTCTTCTAGGTGAGCCAGGACCTATTCCGGCGTCCGCTTGCGTCTTAAGGCTTCATCTATGATTGGCCACCTCAGGGAGTTAAAAGCATTTTTCACGTCCAAGGTAACCAATACATAGAGTTCCCTATTCCGACCAAGGACCTAACCTAACCTAACGGCAGCAGCCCGTCTTGCCACCGACAGGACGCTTTCCACCGCGGTCTCGGTGCTGATGCCCTTTCTGAATCCGAACTGGTTTTGTGCTCTCAGCCTACAGCCCCGAGTATCGGGGTACTCTTCGAGGCGCTGGAGTAGCATCCTCTCCAGTAGTTTGCCCGGCGTATTTAGCAGGTAAATGGGTCTGAAACTTGAAGGAGCTTCCACCGGCTTGTCACCACCCTTGTGCAGCAGCACTAGTTAAGCAGCTTTCCATTGTTGGGGGAAGTACAGGGCCCTGAGATAGTTGTTGTACACTTGCAGGACCGCTTGTTGACGCATCTTCGCCAATTGCCTCAGGGCTTCGTTTGGCACGCCCGAAGAACCTCTGCTTTAGCTGACGATAGTCTGGCGCAGGCCTTCTTGAGTTCGGATGTCTCAAAAGGTGGGATGACCATTTCATAGTTGAGCTCGTCCGTGTCCGGGCCAAAGGTGTCGAGCAGGCTGGCCGTGAAGGCGGGAGGAGCTACGTCCCAGTCCGTTAGCGGAGTGGCCGGAAAAAAATGATCAGCGATTGTCGCCTCCCTGCCGAAAGAAGCCGTTCATAAGTTGTTACCACCGAGTTTCTTCATTACGATCCGGTAAGGTCTACCCCATGGATCGAACTCTGCCATTTCACAAAGGTCGTACAAAAATTTGTCCTTGGCTTTACTGATAGCCAAGCGCAGCTCCTTCCTGGCTGTAAGGAAGCCGATCCTCAGTTCGCCGGAGCCCTGGAAAACAGAATGCCTGAAAGCGATGTTTTAGATATAAGTTCGAGGTTTGAAACAGATTCTAAAATTACAAAAATTGAATATCATTCATATACACCTTATACGACTTCGTTTAATAATAATGATAAAATACGAATATCAATCCAGCAAACAGATGTTTATCCGTATCTGCATGAGAGTTTTATTTTTTTAGAAGGTAAAATATCAGAAGCTAGTGAAGTTAAAACTTGCTAATAACGGTTTTTCATATCTCTCTGAACAAATATGTCTTGAAGCTAATGGAATAGAAGTAGATAGTATTCGAGTACTAGGTATTACCAGTTCGTTGAAAGGTTATCTATCATGTACGACAGATAAATATTACCGTTATGAAAATGCAGGTTGGGTTTTTAAAAATAATACAAACCCCGCAAATGCAAATGGTGAATTTGATGATGAAGAAAGATTGAAATTATTAAAACTTATAGAAAAAGGTTTGTTTATCCCGTTCATGTCTTTTGAAACTTTCGAATACCCTGAACTTGGAACCATTAAAAAAGTTGTATGGCACTTGAAAACTGCTTCAAAATTAGAAAAACCTCCATTTATTATAATCGGATTGCAGAAGGGACGTAAAAATGTATTAACAAAAGATTTTAGTGTATTTGATCATTGTAATTTAAAAAACTTTAAAGTTTTTTTAAACTCGATAGATTATCCATATGATAATTTAAATTTAGATTTTGCAAAAAATGATATTATTCAAGAAATGTTAGATCTAAAATTAATGCAAAATGAAGAAAAGTATGCTCAACTGCAGATGCAATGTTCTGTATTAAAAGAATTGGAAAATGTTGAGCTTTTAAAAACAATACATGTCATAGCAATGACTACAACTGGTGCTGCAAAACACAGAATGATGCTGGAAAGATTAGAATCTCCGACAGGTATGAAATAAAATTTAAGTTATACTTTTACCAACATATTAATCGGTTATCTTTAATTTTTAGTTGTTGTTGAAGAAGTTGCTGAAGTTTTAGAGGCACACATCATATCCTCTTTAACAAGTCACTGTCAACATCTAATATTGATAGGTATTTATTATTTACCTTTTGAGAAAATCAACACTAAAAATTGTGATAACAGTTAACATTATTAAACGACAGTCGCAACAATTTACTACCCCCCGCCCAAAAACTTTCACGGTATGATTTGCCACTAATGTACCTGTCTTGTAAAAATATTCTACGTCATATATTCTATAAGTACAAATAGAACATTGATATACGCACTATGAATCCACTGGTAAAAGGCTTCAGTAACATAGTATAATTTATTAAAATCTTTGAATATCTACACAATGTTTGTCCAAATAATCACTAATGTGTTAGTCTATTAGATTAAATAGGACTTATACGTCTCTATTATATAAAGCCAGTAATCAGCTCCTCATCGCTAACCAATTCAAAAGTTATCCCTAAAAACATATACATAGGATTAGACTGAAAAAATCTAATATCGAAAAATGATGTCCACCCTAAGGCACTTGCTTAATGACAATCTTTAAATATACAAAACTTACCTTAACTAACCATAATATTTGTAAAGACAAATTTCTATATTTGTTTATGTAAGAATATAATGCATTGTTTAACTCCAAACGGCGCATTCTTATATTTTACGACCTTACATCATTCATATGTACTTGATTGATGTGTATCAATAAAGATGTTTCGTATATACATTTCACATCACAAAAAGGACAGTTAATAATTATCCTATCAACAACTGCTTCTTTTATGACAAAGTTACATGATGCAGTTTGTAACCGAAATGAGGACACTTCTTTTAATTTAAGGTTCATAAATGATTATTTTTATTTATTACAACAAGCGTCTAGAGACCAATTAACTCTTTTATTTAAAAAAATAATATTCTTAAAACCATTTCATCAATTCGATTGCTTATCAAGAATGAGCATGGGAATCCAAAGTGAATGTAATAATTCAACTAATTTCACATTATTTGAATTAATTGATTAAAAAAAAAAAGTGAACATGTCAATTGACTATAGTGAAGACATCAGAACACATGATGTGTCAAAAATTGATACAGCTGTAGATGCAACATCGTTTTTGGTTGGCATCATACAGACCTATTTGGGTAAAAATAAACAACAAAAATTAGAATCACCTGGAGATGTTATTAATAATATTGTTATTTATAATAATAATTATTAACAAAACAACACACAAGGGGACAAGACACATAAGCAAACAGCAATATATTTCAATATAATATTTCATATTGTTATTAATAATAATCAATTATTTAGCAATCGTTCAAATGTGAACGACACAATAATTATTTGAATACAAAACCAAATATAATGCATTTTAATTATATTGAAATATATTGCATATTGATTATGGTTTTGAACTCTAATTATTAGGTACCATACAGGCTCGTAATAAGCGTCGCAAGACGCGTGCCCTTTATTTTTTTTCTTATAATAAATTATCATGTATATTAATAACTAACCTGATCAGGCACATAGTATATTGATCAAATACTGTAAAGTCAGTTATTAGTTTTTACTTATTAAAATTAAAATTTGAAGTACCTATAATGAAAATTTTGTTTTTGCACGTTTTTGCACATTTTAACATTTTAATTGCACATTTTTTAGATTTTAACTGCACAAAAATCCGGTCTTTATTGATGACACTGCTACACAGCAATGACTTGACATAACAAGTATATAATAAAAATACATAGATTGGCTGGACAAAACCATTATAAATAAAAATATATGAAAACTATGAATTTATAAAAGTAACGGACTGTCGTACGCGGTCTACTATCAGCTTGATAACAGAAACACAATCGCAAGCTGACAATGAGACAACGTACACAGTCCTGCCAAAACCTTGCGCACTGCACTTTGGCGCGAACAATATGAATAAACATTTTGTCGTATGACAAACACATAACATATGTTATTTAATTGGTTTTTATTGTACAGTCGAACTTGGTTAACTCGAAGTTGAAAGGACCGGAGTAAAAGTTCGAGTTATCCAAGAATTCGAGTTATCCAAAAAAAAAAAAATTTAAAACAGTACTGTATATTAATTCCTGTGTTTATTATAAATAAAATATGTAATATGCAATAAAAATTAGTATATATGTATATGTAATTTTAAAAAGGTAGGTAATGTATGTATATATAAACAAAAATGAGGTTAAAAATTTATTTAAAAAAAGTATTTATTTTTGTTTGAATTTTGATGTCGATTGCAGCGTTTGTAGTGAATCGTTCTATTTTATTCAAAGCTTTGAAAAGTTCATCACTGACCTCTCCTTTGTTTTCGATAAATCGCCTTAATTCATTAATATGCATCCGTGCTTGTATACTCGTGAGAATGGGGGGTTCAATACATTCTTGTTCCTCTTCTTCATCCGATGATTGAGTACATCTTACAGTTAATTGTATAATGTCTGAATCTGATAAATGTCCGCATACTTCCAAGTCGTCATCCATGTTGATGTAATCATCAAAATTAATATTTACATCTTGCCTCACATCGTCCCATACATTTATTATAATCGTTTGTTGAATTTCTTCATCACCGACATTTTCTGAATTTCCGCTTAAAAAACCAGCTTTACGGAAACAGTTTGCAATGGTTTCTGATGTTACTTGTTCCCAGGCATTTTTAGACATTCGATTTGCTTGTAAAATATCAATTTTACCACCATCCTGTAGCAAGTTCAGTACTAGTGGAGTACGGTAATGGTGCTTGAAATTTTTAATAATTCCTTGATCCATTGGCTGAACCACAGATGTCATATTGGGAGGAAAAAACAAAACTTCGAGATTACCCATATATCATACCATATATCCTGTTTTATTAATTTGAAACAAGTCTTTTAATAAACAGTAAAAAAACAAATAAAATAATGATTTTTCAAAACTTACCAAGACAACTTGTGACGACGACTTTGTAGCTTGTAATATTGATCAATAAGTAAAGAAAAAGTGTCAAATACGCAGAGAAAATAAATAAATAACAAATGATAATTTTTATACCTAGTAAGCATATGTAGCAGATATGCAACACATTTAATTGACTAGGTTTTCCCTTGATACTCATTGTAATTGTTTAAAAATAACTGTTTTAAATGTTAAGAAGATTACAATGAATCTAAAAATATTATTTTCAACTTGTTTATAATGATATTTCAAACAACATAAATGTGATAAAAACATGTCTATCAACAGTTTTCTGATATTACGATATGCGCTATTAAACAGCTAAGTTACGTATTGCTTTGTAGGTAATAGGCATTCTGACTATCTCCGATCCGAAGCACCGATTTAGCCCTCTTACTTCCAATCATATTAACCACCACGTGAATGCAATGACCTATGACCTGGCTCCTCGATCTGGGTTGTCCTGAATCCCTGAACCACACTGCCATATTCTGGTCCTGCAATCTTGATCTGTCGACCTGTTCGTTCTCCAATCACACATTATTTATTAAAACCTTCATCACCGCATATGTTGCTATCTGCTACAATAACTAAACGTATATAATAAGAAAATCAGTATTGCATATACTCGTCGATTCATATTTCATTAAGCATACCTATGGTTATATTATACTGTACTGTTGTTACCTTATAGCCTCATAACCATTATTAATCAG